AGCAGCCAATGTGCCAGCCACACAGCTCGCCCACCTGCAAACAAACGCCGTTTTTACGGCGACACACAGAAATCACATAAAGAGCCATTTTCTGCCTGTGTCATTAAAGGGTCACGTGTCCACACCAAAGTGCGCATTCCCACATATCAAAACTGTCAACGCAGTGCCAAATGTTTTCCCAGCTCAGGCTGGACGCCCCATAAATGTAGATTGTGTGCCAACTGTCACGTATGCACCACTACACATAAGCACTGTTCCCACAGTTATAAACACTTCCCCAGTAAAAGCGGGAAGTTCTATAAGAGTAGCGCGTGTGCCCGCTGTTATGCACGCACCCCAACTCACAAACACTGTTTATATGGCCAAAAACCTCCCGCCACGAGCGGGAAGTTTTATGAAAGTGGCGCGCGTGCCTACCACAGTCTATGCACCCCCACCCATAAGCACTGTCCATACAGTGTTAAACATTTCCCCATCTCACTCTGTGAGCATTACGGCGAGCGTGCCTGTAATCTCACACGCACCCCTGCACTCCGCATTCAGCAAAGCTGCTCAGCGCGCGCCCGCGCCACTGAGAGCTGTAAGCTCGGTATTAGCACAGGGCGATTCGCTGGCGGGAGCCATACGTCACTGCGACACGCCCCCAGCCAGCATTCAGCCCATATCTGTGCGAGCGAAAGCTTGGGAAAATATCCCCGACATGCCGAAATGGGTTTTGAACATAATAAAACACGGTTACTCGCTTCAATTCGCTCGCAGACCACCCCGCTTCACAGCAGTGGTCGAGACGAAAGTGAGAAAAGATGTTTCACATGTTCTACGCACCGAGATGCTCAAACTGATAGAGAAAGGCGCTATAGAGACAGTCCCTCCCTCTATGAGCGAGGCAGGTTTTTACAGCCGCTATTTTCTCGTCCCGAAAAAAGGATGGCGGTCTCCGCCCCATTCTAGATCTCAGACATCTGAACAAAGCTTTAATGATTCGCTCGTTCAGAATGTTAACAACCAAGCATATCCTCGCGCAAGTTCGCCCGGGGGATTGGTTTCTATCAGTGGATCTGAAAGACGCTTACTTTCACATTCCGATAGCGCCTTATCACAGGCCTTTTCTGAGATTCGCTTTCGAGGGACAGTCATACCAGTACACAGTACTACCATTCGGCCTGTCACTGGCACCCCGTACATTTACGAAATGTATGGATGCAGCACTTTCCCCCCTGAGGCAGCGGGGAGTGCGAATACTAAATTATCTCGACGATTGGCTAATCCTAGTACATTTAGAGAGCCAGTTAGTGACACACAGGTCTTGGATTATCAGTCATCTAGATTGCCTGGGTCTAAGAATCAATTTTGCAAAGAGCGTGCTATCCCCCAGCCAGAATATTTCTTTTCTGGGAATAGTGCTAGACTCAGTGCAGATGATGGCCCGCCTCTCATCAGAGCGCGCGCTTACTATCCGGCGCCTTGCAACATCGTTCAGAGCGGGTGCGCGCGCCCCCGTCAAGCGATTTCAAAGGATGCTCGGTCTCATGGCCTCAGCATCAGCTGTACTCCAGCTAGGGTTGTTGCACATGCGTCCTCTCCAACGCTGGCTCAAAAGCCGTGTCCCCACTCACGCGTGGCGCTCGGGCCACTTTTTAATCAGAGCAAATCACGGCTGCATGAAAGCCCTGACGCCCTGGAAAGCTGTCGACTGGTATCAGTCCGGCGTGAGTTTGGGCGTGAACACAAGGAGAAAAATGATCACGACAGATGCCTCCAAAATAGGCTGGGGGGCCCTTTACGAGGGCAGGCCTGTCTCCGGCTTGTGGTCAAACCCGGAGAAGTGCCTACATATAAACTGTCTGGAATTGAAAGCGGTCGCTTTGGCTCTCAGAGCCCTGCTCCCGTACCTGAAGGACGAGTACGTCCTAGTCCGAACGGACAACATGACGGTAGTCTCGCATATAAATCGTCAGGGTGGACTCAGATCGAGCTCCCTGCACTCGATGGCCAGGGAGCTCCTCCTATGGTCCCAGCGCAACCTGCGCTCGCTGAGAGCAGCGCATGTGCCAGGTGTTCTGAACCAGGGAGCGGACATGCTGTCCAGAGACAAAGTTCTCCCAGGAGAATGGTCTCTCCACCCCCTGACGATTCAGTGGTTATGGCAAACCTTTGGCAGAGCAGAGGTCGACCTCTTTGCCTCCAAGGAAAATGCGCACTGCCCTCTCTTCTTTTCAAAGAGCACAGACGCGCTCGCCCAAATCTGGCCGAGCCGCCCGCTGTATGCCTTCCCTCCGGTCGCGATGCTACCTCAGGTCATCAGTCGGATCAGGGAGGAGAAATGTGCAGTGCTCCTAGTAGCCCCACTCTGGAAGAACCAGACGTGGTTTCCAGAACTGATGCAGATGATGCAATCTGCCCCATGGCCGATTCCACTGAGGCTAGACCTCCTCAGGCAGGCCAACGGGATGATCCTCCATCCCCGCCCCGATCTGTGGGCCCTCCATGCGTGGCCCCTCAACGGGAGCCTCCCCAGTGGAGTGTTGAGAACCATCACTGAGGCGCGAGCGCCCTCTACGAGGCGCTTATATGCCCAGAAATGGAAGGTGTTCAGTGACTGGTGTAAATCCAGGAACCTGAACCCTGAGACATGCGAAGTACCGAGTGTGCACGTTTTCTTACAAGAGCTGTTGGAGGCAGGCCGCACCCCCTCCACGCTCAAAGTATATGTGGCTGCCATAGCGGCATCACACGACCCTGTAGAAGGACGCACACTAGGAAAAAACTACCTAGTTGTTCGTTTCCTGAGGGGCGCCAGGAGGATAAATCCCCCACGCCCCCCCTCGGTGCCGATCTGGGACCTGGCCACGGTCCTGGACGCACTCAAGAGTGCCCCGTTCGAACCCCTCTGAACTGTGCACCTTAAACAGGTCTCGCTCAAAACTGCTCTCTTGCTGGCTCTCGCCTCGGTCAAGAGAGTGGGCGACCTGCGCGCGCTGTCATCAAGCGCTGCCTGCCTGGAGTTTGGACCTAACAACAGTAGGGTTGTCCTCAGGCCAAAACACGGGTATATTCCTAAGGTGCTCTCTACACCTTTCAGAGCACAGGTGATATCTTTGGCCGCGCTATCGTCACCAGCAGACGAAAGCGACGCTAATTTACTCTGCCCGGTCAGGGCGCTCAGAGTATATTTGGAACGTTCTGCCCTGTTCAGACAGACAGAGCAATTGTTCGTATGCTTTGGCGGCCGCACCAAGGGTCTCGCTGTTTCAAAGCAAAGAATATCGCGCTGGATAGTTGATGCTATAGCGCTGGCTTATGAAGCCAAGGGCCTTCAGTGCCCCTTGGGCATCAGAGCTCACTCTACAAGAGGCATGGCCTCCTCGTGGGCATGGTCGAGTGGGATACCCATTCAAGATATTTGTGCGGCAGCAGGCTGGGCCTCACCGTCAACATTTATCAGGTTTTATAACCTACAGGTCCCCTCAATGCACTCTAACATACTGTCGGTCTAACTATGCATAGGCTGGAGTGTGTACATTCTGAGCATTGTCTCCTCCCTCATAGAATCCGTCTCTGACTGATGTAGAGGATTTTTCATGCATGTCAGTACATAAAAATGTGCTTGTGTGTTTCTCTGGACGCCCATTGGGCCGTTCCACGTTGTCCTTTATAAAGCCCGCCTTCGGCTGGCTCGTTGGATAATTACTTTGCTTAAAGGCTCAGGCATCTGCCTCCGGCTTAATAGAGCGAAGTCAGCACGCACGGCGTTTTACATGGCGTTCCCATAGCGTAAGCTATTACGCAATAGGAGGAACCTCTCGAAAGGGAACGACTCGGTTACTAGCGTAACCTCGGTTCCCTGAGAGGAGGGAACGAGTATTGCGTAAGCTGCCGTGCTTGTGCTTGGTCAGTTTGCTTCAGTCGATTGAACCTAAAGAACTCAGACGACGGGGCGCCCAATATATAGCCCTTGGCCACGCCCATCTTGGCGGGCTCTGACGCGCGCGGACGCGAAGCACGCTCATTGGAAGCGGGTTCAGAGTCGCCCCGTCATAGGTTCGTGCAGTTGCCGCAGCACAGCCAATGACCGAGCTGCCTCGCTCACTGCTGTATGCTGTGCAGCTGCAATGCGTTTTACATAAAGACTTCAATATTTCTCGAGAAAAGGAGTTTTCCCATAGCGTAAGCTATTACGCAATACTCGTTCCCTCCTCTCAGGGAACCGAGGTTACGTTAGTAACCGAGTCGTTTTCCACTGACTTAAAAATCTTTTACCATTCCCTAACCTCAACAGAGGACATTAGTAAAGCTGTTAAGACATCTAGGCTGTTGAAAAGATAATTTGTGTTTTAGATGTATGATTTTGATAAGATGCAAAAATTGGATTTCATTGTTAAGTGTTTTTATGGCTCTTTATTTCCCTATTGTTAACTCAACAAAAAAAATTAAACCTAAATTCAATTTGTTCATCATAAAAATATTTATATATTTTTTTAAAGTGGCGTTGATATAAAAATAGCTGTATTCCCTAGTTGCTTGAAACATTGTTGTTAGTCATAATTACTTGGATCCGCATTGCAATCAGCAATTGACAAATTCGGTTTCAAATTCTAGACATGCCCCTGTGTCTGTGTATGCTGTGTCTCTTCATATTCTACACAGATTTTTGACAGTAGAGATCCACTTTCCTGTAGAGTTTAGGTGTAAGAGGTTATTCATAACTACAACTTGTAGACTTGGAATTTTCGGAGAGCTCCGACTTGTACCACATGATCGCTGTACCACCTGACCCTTGTCGTTGATAGTGTTGCCATAGAAACACTCAATCATCTTCTAATTATGTCATCTGGCGTGAACGCAGCTCCACTCCTCCAAACCTAATCAAACACACCTGAACAAGCTAATCAAGGTCTTCAAGATTAGGCTAGAAAGCTACACGCAGGTGAGTTTCATCAGGGTTGCCGTTACCCAGACTTCCTTGGATCTATAAATCTTTAGACAGCAATTTATCTTAAGGGATTCAGCAGCACATCTTTTCAGTGTAGTTTTGTGTGCCTCACTGTCTCCCCTGGCTGACTAATTCAGTGCATCTTCTAGCAGAGTTGATTGTTGTGAGATCGCAGGTCGAGAGGATGACATCTCGAGTGTACTGCTCGTTGAGTGTTGTTTTATTGTGTCTGTCTGCATGTTTGAGCACAAACCACGCTGGAGTCGTAGGTGAGAAGATCTTTTAGCTTCATTACACAGCCCGAATAAATGCATAAATAAGTTCCTTACAAAATATGATGTACAATACAATTAGTTGTAAAAGTAAACTTATGAACAACATATTAACTGGATATCTTCTATCTGCATTGTGCTTCTATAACACCTCACCAGTAGTGGGGTAGGTTGTAACGACACTCTGTCTTGAAACTAATCGACCATTTAGTTATAGGCCTAAATGGTACTTGATTTGAAGCAGATAAATACACAAATATGTTCAAGTTTGAGACGCACATTGCAAAACACCTGATTTACAAATACTGAAAATTACAAAAACACTCCTGTAGTGTCTGGTAAAGCTGACGGTCGGGCCGTGGAGGATGTACTTGTGATCGAGACTGCTCTGGAGGACAATGTTAACTAAATGTGAAGCTATAAAGTAGAAAGACTGAACTAGTATTTTCTTGTAAAACCTATTCTGATCTTTGACCACTTTTTTTCATATCACTGAATGCTGAAAGCCTCATTTACTGTATGTTTCTGTTATTTGTCTGTATCACAGCAAAGCAGGGACAGTGTCCAAGCACAAAATCTGGTGGAGGAAACTGTGCTGAGTTGTGTTCCTATGACCGTGATTGTCCCAACAATGAGAAATGTTGCAGCAATGGATGTGGACGTCAGTGTATGGCTCCATATACAGGTATTTATGTACTATTAGTGTTTGAGTCGGCTTTCTCGTTATATCAGTTGGTCTTATTTTCTCGTTATACGTGTCAAAAGTATTGAGCCGATAGCAACGTTTCAAGCAAAGGATTGCTTTACAAATTTAATAGATGAATAAGACTTAAAATACAATTCTTTCTGTAAGTAAAACTTACTGTTCATGCTTTGCGTGTTATGTGCTGTACATCTAAGACCTAAATGTTACTAAACGGACTGACTAAAGCTGACTATCTGAATCTCTGCAGTGAAGTCGGCAGCTGAACCGGCAAAGCCTGCAGTTTGTGCTGAAAACTGTCAAAAAGCTCACCCTGATGCCCAATGTTTTGGCCCTAAGGGGGGTCCTCCAGAGCCTGTAGTGATGCCTGCGGCCGAACCAGTGAAGCCTGCAGTATGTGCTGAAAACTGTCAAAAAACTCACCCTAATGCCCAATGTTCTGGCCCCAAGAGGGGCCCTCCAGAGCCTGTAGTGATGCCTGCGGCCGAACCAGCAAAGCCTCCAGTGAAGCATGTGGCCGAACCAGCAAAGCCTCCAGTGAAGCCTGTGGCCGAACCAGCAAAGCCTCCAGTGAAGCCTGTGGCCGAACCAGCAAAGCCTCCAGTGAAGCCTGTGGCCGAACCAGCAAAGCCTCCAGTGAAGCCTGTGGCCAAACCAGAAAAGCCTGCAGTATGTGCTGAAAACTGTAAAAAAACTCACCCTGATGCCCAATGTCCTGGTTTTAAGGGGGGTCCTCCTGGACATAAAGAAAGTGGCCATGCATGCAGTTAACAGTGTTGATTTTTACCAGTGATGTTTTCCCTGTTTAACAAATAAAAATAAAAAAGATAAACAAATTAATTTGCCTGAAGAGTTTCATTTATATAGCACATTTAATGCAACAGCTGTTGCCCAAAGTGCTTCACAATAACTAAACCCAAATAAGAGTACAGAGAAAAAAAAACAGACAAGGTAATGATCAAACACCCATCATATGAAGATGCCCAGGAAGTCTTTAAAAGATGTGCTTTGAACATGGCCTTACATTTCAATAGTGACTTTACTGACCTTACATAAATAGGGAGGTCATTCCAAAGTTTGGTTCTGACATGGGAAAATTATTTGTCGCCCTTATGTTTGTATTTTGTTTTGACAACACAGAAGATTTTTCTTTACGGATCTCAAAGATCTAGATGGATTCTACAGTTTCTAGCATACTAGAAAGATAAGTGGCAAAATTGTGTAACACTTTAAAAACAATCTTCTAGATAATTCTATCAAACCAGCAGCTATTTTAAAAACGGAGTAATTGACTCAAATTTCTTGGCTGATTTGAGAATTCTCGCCACATCTTATTTTTTTAAGATGTGCCAATGCTTTGTTAATTCCAAAGTAAATAGTTACAGTCGTGTGTAGCGTCTGGAGTGGACCAATCAAACACACAAATTATTCATATGTAATGAATCCAGCAAACTCACTCTCCCATCAAAGGTCTGTGGAACTTCACCCCAAAACTAACATCACAAATGAAGTCTATCCACTGGCAGAACCTGGTGTCCTGTTACAGGACACATTAAGACTGATACGTTTTACAACCCCAAAGGAATTTTCAGAGTTGTGACTCTCACTTAATTCTTGAGAAGGAAAAATTAACCCTGTTAATCCTATATATTCTATATATATCCACTTGAGAAATGCATAAACATGTATCTAATTTTCTCATCTCATGATTTTCCTTTATGTTGTTTGGTTAATGTTTCAGACTTTGCATACTGTGGTTAACCAAAATCATATGTGTGGCATGTTTGGTCTCTATAAACTCCAATCTTCGTCCCCCATTTGTTAATTTACATTACATTTTGCTAACTTTATGACGCATTAGAATTATAAGAATTTTGAAGATTCTTTTCTTAAAAACCCAATGAAATTAAACATTCAAATGGTCGTAAAAACTCCCTCCAAAGGGAACACTTCTTATTGGCTCACACACCTCCAGAGGGTCTGACATCTTCACGCTTTAAAAAAATCACTGATCACAAGATTAGCTGCTCTTGCTCTTAGCACTCTTAGCTTGCTTAACCTCTTGCTCTCTTGGCTTGGTCCTTCCTGAGAAGTCCTAATGTGAAGATGATGCTGAACTAGAAGTCCCCCAAGGACCCCCAAGCTTGCGCCAGGCTGCGGCCTTGTCTTTCCATACACCAAAGATCCTCTGACTCCCACTGGTCCTCTCTCATCAAGACCACATCAGCAAAGATCAACTGGAGCCTCAACAAATTGCATCAGGACAGTTTAATTCAAATGGACGAGACGTGCAAGTATCAAACTTAGTCTCATTATTTGATACATTAAGTATCCTTACCCCCTTTTAAGAAGGGCATGTTAGAACTAAACTGGTGGTTTGCTCAGGCTGTTGATCTGCTGAACATCAAACAACGCTATAACTTCTTGCTTTCCTGTATTCTGCTTCAGCTCTCTTTCCCTTAGTAAACTTAATGTAACTAGACTAAGTTTAAATGTTTAGTCTAGTTAATAAAGTCTTGTTCATATCACACGTAAAGTTGTCCGTGTCTCAAGGTCATATCTGGAGTCACTAATCATAGATTTCTGGCTACAGGCTCTGAATAGTACTCTACAGTAAGAAAGACATTGCCCATGCCCTGGAAATGTAAATATCTTAGAATTAATAACCAATATTGAGTGTTCACAGGATGAACCGAGTAATTGGTTGTCATGTTAATGTAGCTACATCAAGTTAACCCGATTAACTGATCCAAATATTCATAATCAATTATAACAAGTTTTATTAACAAGCTAATTTGCTACACAAAGAAAAATTTGATCAGAAAAATGGTTGGAGATTATGACATCTGGTTCCAAGCCTCTCACTTTAAGCTACACCAGCCAGCCTCAACAACCCCACACAGCATGAAATGAAGTGAGGGATCAAGGGCGTGTACTAGTAACGGACCTCCCTCACCAATGAGGGAAAGCCCATTGCAACGGATCACAAAGAGTCACCCTGGTGAAGATAGAAGGTGTGTTCGACTTCATGCAGCTCTGCGCAGACCGATCGGCGGCTGACGCATGCCGGCTGTGCATGCCGGTAAGAAATTTTGTCCGACTTGATGCAGCGCCGACGCCACATGACTGTGACGTACGCCATCAAAGTACCGCGAGAGTGTTTCGAGAGTAGCCGGAGGACTCAGCCAGCGCAGCTTCTCAAGAGCAGCTGCACAAGCTCTGATGACGACACAACTGTTCCACGATTGTCCGGATTCACCTCATGACAACGATCACGTGCGTTTCGTGTTTATTCTCACACCTTTAGTTCCACTAAAGCTCACAAATCAGTTTTTTATAACAGTAAACAGTCTTTTCATGTAGTCGCGATGTTATATTGTGTCATGTTTATCAAAATAAAACTGATTAAAAAACATTGACTCCACTTCATTGATATAGGCTTATTTTGAACTTTATTCTTGTTCAAACAGATGCTGTATGAAGCAGTAAAGTATTGAATGAAAATGTGTCTGAAATATGTTTATTTGGCAAATATAGCATTTATTTCACTTCAGCTGTGGTAAAGTATGCAAACACCACGTGAGCGGTCACTACGGGAACCAGAAATTGTCCGACTTCACGTCTCCGTTTGCAGCTCCTCCCCGCGGCAACTCTCGCCAATCGGTTACATCCAGCCGCAGCCGATGTTGAACACACCTAGAATGTCCATGGGGCGAACGAGATGATCAACACACCTGGTAGAAGATGTGAACTAACTAATGGTTTAAGTTTAGCAGAAATCTGCATTATAGGTCTATATACAAGGACAGGGAATACAGGACAGGGCAAAGCAATTAAAAAGGATTGCAACTTGAAACCACTGATTTGGAAAAGGAAAATTCCACATACAAACCTTCTGGCATTTTTCAACAGACCCTACCAGATTTATTTGTTAAATCCAATCTGACTTAGTCGCTATTGAGTCCATGTGCTGTCCTAACAATGATTTGAACTGATCACTTGATTTCTCAGTGGTTGGGGATTAACATAGTATTCCTTTGTGATTTTTCCTGACACAGGATAAACCACCTTAACATGAACTGTAAAAGCAGTTCACTCTCCCTGTTTGAGCAGAGAATAAATCTTCCTTACTATACAGAGAATGACTCTCTGGCATTGCAGGGAATAACGTTAACACAACCTTCCCTGATTAGACAGGATAAATCAACTTCCTTGACTATACGAAGGATGAAACACTGTCGACACAGGATAACCACATGTACTCCACAGAAATTTATTTTTGTACCAAAAACTCCAATAGATCAAAAACATTTCATTAAATATAAGATTTATTTGGTGATAAACAGGGAACATTCTATACGAATAAAGCACTGAATTGATCTGTAAAAGATCTTCAGCATGAGTTCCGCAAAAAGCAATGTCACGGCTTTTCGGCTGCAGGCTTTGGCGGCTCGGCCGCAGGCTTCACTGCAGGCTTTGGCGGCTCGGCCGCAGGCTTCACTGCAGGCTTTGGCGGCTCGGCCGCAGGCTTCACTGCAGGCTTTGGCGGCTCGGCCGCAGGCTTCACTGCAGGCTTTGGCGGCTCGGCCGCAGGCTTCACTGCAGGCTTTGGCGGCTCGGCCGCAGGATTTGGAGGCTCGGCCGCAGGCTTCACTGCAGGCTTTGGCGGCTCGGCCGCAGGCTTCACTGCAGGCTTTGGCGGCTCGGCCGCAGGATTTGGAGGCTCGGCCGCAGGCTTCACTGCAGGCTTTGGCGGCTCGGCCGCAGGCTTCACTGCAGGCTTTGGCGGCTCGGCCGCAGGCTTCACTGCAGGCTTTGGCGGCTCGGCCGCAGGCTTCACTGCAGGGATATAGATAGTCATCTTTAGTCGGTTCTTTCAGTGGCATTCGGCACAAAACTCAAATCATGAATAGCAAGTGTTTCAGAGTGAATTGTATTTTAAATATTCATCATTCATTTTGTAAAGCTATTCTGTGAAACTGTGCTACGTGTGCTAAATTGCAGTTATTTTTGTCATGGAGTAGGATGACGAGAACAGAATTATAAAAGACACACTGGGGTGGGGAGCTGACCCAAACACTCCATAAACAAGTATAATACAACTACCTGTATATGGAGCCATACACTGACGTCCACATCCATTGCTGCAACATTTCTCATTGTCCGGACAGTCACTGTCATAGTAACACAACTTGGCACAATTTCCTCCTCCAGTTTTGGAGCTTGGACACTCTCCTGGCTTTGCTGTTATGAAGACACGACAGAACACATCACTGAATGCTGAAGGTCTCATTTACGGTTTGAATATAAATATATATATTATATATATCAGTCTTTCTACTTCAAAGTTTCATATTTAGTTCAATGCATTACTTGCAGCTTCTTTGCAATTATTTGTGAAGTTCACTAGCAACATCTGAGTAAAAACTTTCAGTGTTTCTTTTGGGAGACCTCTAGCATCCATCATTAATTAAAACTCACTGAAAACAGGTGGCACACATGCAGGCCCACAGGAAAAATTGACAGCATTTATGTCCTCCAGAGCAGTCTCTATCAGAAGTACATCCTCGACTGGATGGCACGACTGTCAGCATCACCGGACACTGACCGGACTCTACAGAAGAGGATTCAAGAGGATTGGTAAAAGGGACCAGGGAGTGTTGTAATGGTTTCAGTATTTATAAGTCAGGGGTTTTGAAATATAGGTCTCAAAACTTGAAAATATGCATATCTGCTTACAATCAAGAATAAATTCCATTTAATCACTAAACTGTCAATCAGTTTTAAAGACAAAGTGCTGTTACAACCTACCCCACTACTGGTGAGATGTGTAATATAAGCACAATGCAGATAGAAGACATGGACAGTTAATGTGTTTCATAAATTTACTATTGCAACTAAATGTACTGTAGCTACATGTTCAAAAGAAGTCATTTTGTAAGGCACTTAATGCATTTCTTCAAACTGTGTAATGAAGCTAAAAGATCTTCTCACCTGCGACTTGTGTTGTGCACAAACATGCAGACAGGCACAATAAAACGACACTCAACGAGCAGTACACTCGAGCTGTCATCCTCTCGACCTGTGATCTCACAATGAGCTCTGCTGGAAAACGCGCTGAATTAGTCAGTCAGAAAGGACAGTGAGGAACACAAAACTACAATGCAAACATGTGCTGCTGAATCCCGCAACATAAATCGCTGTAGGGTCAATATATAATTGAGGGAGTTTTCATGTCCATGAGATTTATCTCGCAAACATGCTTATTAAAATAAAATTTTAAAAGTCTTCAGTGTTCTTCATGATCTTGTCTTTACAGATTCCATAGTTAATTATTATGGAAATAATCATTTATTTATAAAAATTTACTAGATATCCCTAAAATGTCAACTAAATAACCGTCCGAAAGGAATTACAACCACAATCTCATTACCTAAAAAAACATTTAAAAAACTTATTCAAAAACAGTTTTAATTATATTATTTACATTAAGTTGAGGTAATTGTGAACAATGTGTCTTTTTGGGCAATATGTCACATTTTCAATAGAAATTGACAAACTGAATATGTGTCCGAGAAGTCGCTGTCATCTAAGTTACCCATAGCAAATACACCCCTCAAGGAAGAGTGTGTTTTCCAAATCACATGACCTGCTCCACATGATGTCATTTCCTCCTGAAGAGAAAACTAGCAAGACTCCAATGTATGTTCTCCCTCCACATTTTCAGTTATTTCACCTAAAGTAGTGCTTGGGGCAAATGTGTACTTATCATATGTCAACAATGTTACTACAATGAATTCATAAATAACTTTGAATTTCAATTTTACTCAGTTGTACATATAATATTCAGAAGAACCTCTCCGTAAAATGCCATGTGGTGTCTGGTGCTAGGCAACCATTTTGATTTTATCCCTAAAAACAGCAAAAATGTCAACTAGGTTACCAGTCACCTATGTTACTCTGCAAAGGTAACTTAGTTGACCAAGAGTAACATAGTTGACATTCATGACATGTTCTTATAGTTTTCAGGAGTTCATTTAATATTCTAATTGTACAGTAACTATAAAATACTTTGCAATAAATATTATAAAAGTAAACTTGTTTTCAGGCAAATGCCACGATTATCTGCTGCAGAAAAGCAGCACCGAATTCGCCATTATAGCAGGTTCCCCTACGTTAGGCGACCAGACCCAATCAGTGTGTCAAGCCCTAGCCACACGGGTTCTAGCCTGGCAAGCTATCCCCGATGTGTCGAGTTGGGTCATAAACACTATAAAGCGAGGTTACTCGCTCCAATTCGCTAGCAGACCCCCGAAATTTCAGGCGGTTCTCGAGACTTCGGTGAGAAGCAACGTGGGTCACGTGCTTCGCACCGAAGTACAGAATCTATTAGCAAAAGGGGCGATAGAATTAGTCCCCCCCGCGCTAAAAAATATGGGTTTTTACAGCCGCTATTTTCTGATTCCGAAAAAAGACGGCGGTCTCCGACCCATTCTAGATTTAAGACATTTGAACAAAGCTCTCATGAGACGGCCATTCAAAATGTTAACGATCAAACATATCCTCATATCCCCTTAGTGACTGGATCCCCCTTGGATCTACCACCAAAGCAGATAAAAAGCTGTTCTGATTGTCTAAAAGACGCAGAACGCTCCCGATAGATTCTCAGCGCTCAGACAGGGCAGAGAAGATTAACCTCTCCATCCTCTGCAGAAGGAGGGAGGGCTGATAATGTCACCACCTGTGCTCTGAACAGTGTTGAGAGCACTTTAGGAACGTAACCATGCCTGGGCTTGAGGATGACTCTGGAGTCATCTGGACCCAACTCCAAACATGCAGGGCTCACAGAGAGCGCCTGCAGATCTCCCACTCGCTTGATAGATGCCAACGCCATAAGGAGAGCGGTCTTCAGCGAGAGGGTTTTTAGATCAACCGATTGGAGCGGTTCGAAAGGTGGACCTTTCAGAGCCCCCAGGACCGTGGAGAGGTCCAAAGGCGGCACAGACGGAGGTCTGGAGGGGTTCATTCTCCTCGCACCTTTCAGGAATCTTACGACCAGGACTTTTCTTCCCAGTGACTGGCCAGCCGTCAGAACATGATGTGCTGCTATGGCTGCCACATACACTTTGAGCGTGGACGGGGAGCAACCCGCGTCCAGCAGCTCCTGTAAGAATGAGCGAACCACAGATATCTCACATGACTCTGGGTCAGCCTGATTTTTCGAGCACCAGCTGGAAAAACCTGACCATTTTGAAGCATACAGGCGCCGAGTCGATGGGGCCCTGGCTTCAGATATAGTGCTTAAAACCTTCTTAGGAAGGTCCTTGGGTACCCGTTGAGGGGCCAAACATGGAGGGCCTATAAATCGGGTCTCGGATGCCACAATGTCCCGTTCGCCTGTGTGAGGAGGTCTTTCCTCAGTGGGACAGGCCATGGGATTGTGTCCGATAACTGAACCAGTTCCGGGAACCACGGTCTGCTTTTCCAGAGAGGGGCCACCAGAAGGACTGGGCACCCGCTCTCTCTGACCCGTTTGATGACTTGTGGAATCATCGAGACGGGGGGGAAAGGCATAAAGGGAACGGTTGGGCCAGCGCGTCCCTGTTCTCCGAGAAGAACAATTTGCAGTGGGTGTTGATTCTCGAGGCGAAAAGGTCGATTTTGGCCTCGCCAAACACCTTCCATATCAGACTGACCGTCTGTGGGTTCAGGGACCACTCGCCGAGGGGAGTGTTGCCCCGTGAAAGCATATCCGCGCCCACATTCTGGACGCCCGGGATATGCGCTGCTCTCAGAGAGCTCAGGTTGGTTTGTGCCCATATAGAGGAGGTCTCTCGCCATCGCATGCAGGTTCCCTGACCTGATGCCCCCCTGGCGATTCATGTAGGCCACCACTGACGTATTGTCTGTGCGGACTAAGACGTGGTGACCTCTGAGGTTCGACAGAAATGCCTTCAGGGCCAACCCAACTGCTTTCATCTCCAGACAGTTGATATGTAAGCTCTGCTCCGTGCTCGACCAGAGGCCGGATGCAGGCATGCCCTCGTGCAGCGCTCCCCAACCCAGGTTGGATGCATCTGTAAGAACCACTTTCCTCCTGGAAATTGTTCCCATTGTCACCCCCACGTGGTGCCAGTTCTGAGCCCGCCAGAGAATTAGGGTTCTTAAACAACCGTGATTCACCATATGCATATGAACCATTGCATGCGCGTGTAAGCTGCCTGACTGCCATGCATGAGTTGGCACATGGCGTGTCAGCCAATGCTGCATCGGGCGCATGCGTAGTAATCCCATGCGGAGTACTGGCGATGCTGCTGCCATGAGACCAAGCAGTTTCTGAAATTTCTTCAGTGGCGCGCGCTCGCGCAATCTGAAAGTGCCTGCAAGCACTTGCACCGAGAGCGCGCGCTCTGGTGTGAGTCGCGCTGTCATAGCTCTCGAGTCTAAAACTGTGCCCAGAAAGATCACGCTCTGGCTGGGGGTTAGTTTGCTTTTTGAAACATTGATTGTGAAACCCAGGCATTTTAGATGGCCGAGAATCAAATCCCTGTGAGCTAATAGCTCGATTCTCGACTGTGCCAGCACCAGCCAGTCGCCGAGATAATTTAACACGCGCACTCCCTGATGTCTCAGAGGAGAAAGCGCTGCATCCACACACTTCGTGAATGTACGGGGTGCCAACGATAGACCGAACGGCAGAACGGTGTATTGATAATCCCGGTCCTCGAAGGGGAATCTCAAGAATGGCCTGTGACGAGGATTTATTTGAATGTGAAAGTAAGCATCTTTCAGATCCATTGTGACAAACCAATCCCCCTGGGCGCACTTGCGCGAGGATATGTTTGATCGTTAACATTTTGAACGGCCGTCTCATGAGAGCTTTGTTCAAATGTCTTAAATCTAGAATGGGTCTGAGACCGCCGTCTTTTTTTCGGAATCAGAAAATAGCGGCTGTAAAAACCCATATTTTTTAGCGCGGGGGGGACTAATTCTATCGCCCCTTTTGCTAATAGATTCTGTACTTCGGTGCGAAGCACGTGACCCACGTTGCTTCTTACCGAAGTCTCGAGAACCGCCTGAAATTTCGGGGGTCTGCGAGCGAATTGGAGCGAGTAACCTCGCTTTATAGTGTTTATGACCCAACTCGACACATCGGGGATAGCTTGCCAGGCTAGAACCCGTGTGGCTAGGGCTTGACACACAGATTGGGGCTGGTCGCCTAATGTAGGGGGACCTGATACCCTCATATTGTGATTTGTGCACACATTGAGTATTGGACTGACTGTACAAGCATTTGATATATGTGCTTGTTAATAAAGTTGTGATTGATCCTTGTAAACTGATGTGTGTCTGTATTTCTCCTTTGTCATGAAGGCTATTCAACAGGTCTTGATTAAATGCAATAAAAGATTAGCTAACATATAATAATTGATATAGTTTAGGATTGTTTTTGTTAAATACATCATCCTACTTTGTCATGTCCAGTCAACTATGTTACTTTTGTCAACTATGATACTGGGCTGTCAATTAAGTTACCATTGTGTTTTTTAAAAAATATATGTATTTCAATGGTTCCGTAATCTCCAAGTAAATATTTAGAAACTGAGTAGCTGTCAAATATATACCTCAGCATAATTTCATCAAGAAAATTATCATGAATCAAGCAGTTTGGAAACAAAATATACAGACCGGTTACTTCAGTACTTGAATTTTGGGGTTTCAATTGAACAAAATGTGTATTTTCTTAATTAATTGGGTATTTTAATTGAAAAGGTAGGTAAATAGACACATATTCTTCCAAGAGTAATGATTTTTTTAAATGTCTGCCATTTACTTAAAGTTAAAACTTATAGGTTTTGTCCGTAACATAGTTGACCAAATAATGAGTAAACTTCTTGTTTTTAAAACTAAATATCTGAAATCAATTATGCCTGAGCTTGGCAATGACTAAAAACAAAATATTTCAGGGATGATTTATCAGGGAAGATAATAATATTTTGTAAATAAATATATTTTTTCCCAGAATTATTCAAACTCAAAATCTCCCACAATTATATATTGACCCTGTATAAAAGTTTTCTGAAAACGCGTTTTTAACGACCCAAGGAGGTCTGGGTAACTCCAACCCTGATCAAACTCACCTGCCTGTAGCTTTCTAGTAGCCTTATCTTGAAGACCTTGATTAGCTTGTTCAGGT